GGGCTGTTAGTTTGGTATTCCTGCAAATATTCCCGAGTATTGTTCTGGGGTGCAGTTAAGTAACTGGAAGCAGTGTGATCCCTTTGAGTTTTGCTTTTATGATTTGTTAGGTTGGTGCTGAACAGTTCTGCATCTAGGCAAGACCATCCTGAGTAGTCTCCTCAGTGTCCTGTTAATTATGAGGTTTTGGTCTGGCAGGAATGGGCCCTTTTGCTGGCCCCGAGTAAATGATGGGTACTTTCCTCTAATCCTTTTGGATTGGGATCCCTTTGGGATCCTTCCAGACATCTGACAACTGTTTCTAAAACTATTTCTGGTCACCATGCCTAGTATACAGTGAGTGCACCATGTTTGTTAAGTGAAGGAATACAAGAGCACTTGACCTCTGACCCCTGTCTTTGTCCCCAGGGCACTGCACTTGGCTGTGATTCATCAGCATGAGCCCTTCTTGGATTTCCTCCTGAGCTTCTCCGCGGGCACAGAGTACTTGGACCTGCAGAATGACCTAGGCCAAGTGAGCCACTGGGGACCATGTAGGGCACGGGGACCAGGGTTCCTGGAGTGATCTTAACTTCTGCTCTGTGCCCCTGTAGACAGCCCTGCACCTGGCAGCCATCCTTGGGGAGGCGTCCACGGTGGAGAAGTTGTATGCAGCCGGCGCCAGGTTGCTAGTGGCAGAGCGCGCGGGCCACACGGCCCTGCATCTGGCCTGCCGCATGCGGGCACATGGCTGCGCACGCGCGTTGCTCCAGCCCCGCCCCCAGCGCCCCCGAGAAGCCCCCAACACCTACCTCGCAGAAAGCCCCGACCACACCTCGAACCCCAGCCACACCCCCGTTGCCTTATGCTCTGAAACTGACTTGGAGAAGGAGGAGGAGGAGGAGAGTGAAGAGGACTGGAAGCTGCAGCTGGAAGCCGAGAACTATGAGGGTGAGCCTCCCCGAGGGTGAGCATCCCCCCAGGGTGAGCATCCCCGAGAGTGAGCATCCCCCCAGGGTGAGCATCTCCACAGGGTGAGCATCCCCCGAGGGTGAGCATCCCCCGAGGGTGAGCATCCCTGAGGGTGAGTATCCCCAGGTGTGAGCATCCCCGAGGGTGAGCATCCCCAGGTGTGAGCATCATCCATATCCCCCCCCCACCCCGGGGTGAATCCCCCGAGGGTGAGAATCCCCTGAGTGTGAGCATCCCAGAGAATGAGCATCCGCGAGGGTGAGCATCCCCGCAGGGTAAGCATCCCCACAGCACAGGAAGGAGGCTGGCTCCCAGTCAGGAGAGGGTCCCAGGCCTCGGGCTCAGCTTTCCTGGCCTGAGACCCAGCCCCTTGGATCATCATCCCTAGGCCTCAGGAACCCTGGCCTTGCAACCATTCAGGCCCCAGATCATTGAGAATTGGGCATATAGGACTTAGGACCTCCATCTAATGGTCTCAGGTAGCTTGGGACCCAAACCTGCCACCCAGAGCTTCCAGGATCCAGTGATTGGACCCAGGCTTCTCACCTGCACGGTGCATCCATCCAGGATCCCTGTTTCTACCTACAAGTCTCAGGCCCCAGCCCAGCCAGGACTTGGGGATTCAAAACCCAGTCTTAGTGCAGTTACGGCATCTGGGTTCCCAACTTTGGGCAGCAGCTTACAGGGGCAGCCCACCCCAGCCAGCCTCATGGGGAAGGAACTTGTCTGCCAAGGTTCCTGGCATCTGAGTGTCTCAGCTCCCCCATCTATAAGCTCAGCTACCTGGGACCAGGCTGTCCAGGTCGCTTAGGACCCACTGTTCAGAGCCTGGATCCCAGGCCCTTCAGCTACCCAGGTCCTTTGTGAAATAAGACGAGAGGCTCAGGTCTCCAGGCCTCAAGATCTGGGGCCCACAGCTCAAGATCCGAGGCTCTTCATCCACAGGCCCCAGACATCCTACAGCCCAGGAACGGCACCTGCCCACACGCTTAGCCTGCCTGGAACTCAGAATCCACCCGCCGTGCCAGGGAAGGAATTCAGGAGCCAGACCCCAGACATGACCCTTCTTGGACCCCCAGCTTCATGGCACTGGGGAGCTGGGCCCCTCACCCATTGTCTCACACCAGCTGCTCTGTTCCCAGGCCACACCCCGCTCCACGTGGCTGTCATCCACAGAGACTCAGAGATGGTTCGGCTACTCCGGGACGCAGGAGCTGACCTCAACAAACTGGTGAGCTGCTGTGCAGGGGAGGATCCGATGGTTGGGCCCAGGCTTCTCCTCCAGGGGCCTCTGACCTCTCTGCCACACCCCACAGGAGCCCACGTGTGGCCGGAGCCCGCTGCACTTGGCAGTGGAAGCACAAGCCACCGAGGTGCTGGAGATCCTCCTGAGGGCAGGTGCCGACCCTGCCGCCCGCATGTATGGGGGTCGCACCCCCCTGGGCAGTGCCCTCCTCCGACCCAACCCCATCCTCGCCCGCCTCCTCCGTGCACATGGAGCCCCCGAGCCTGAGGATGAGGATGACAAGTCCAGCCCCTGCAGCAGCAGTAGTGACAGCGACAGTGACAGCAGGGATGAGGGCGTGAGTCAGGAGGGACACGGGGCAGCCCAGCCGGGGGGGTCAGGGTAAACTGGCACTGGAGACGGGGAGGGGATCGTTAGGCAGGGCATACACCAGCCTTGGGCCGCTATCAAGGAACTTGGTCAGGCAGCCGCTCGAGGGCTGCGGGCATCAAGCAGGACAGACCTCAGTCGCAGTGAGGAGCGGGGCCTTGGGTTGGGGAACCCGGCAGCAGACGTGGCCTCAAGCGCCGCGAGACAGTGGGAATCGGGGTTGAAGGAGTGTGTGAAGGCAGGGGGTGGGGAGGCCTCAGTGCTGAGCGGCTGCTGGGCCAGAGCGCCAGTGGCAATGGCGGGAGACACGCACCTGGGAGCCATGACCTTAGCCATGACCTTGCTCCTCTTAGCCAGGAGCAAGGGAACCGGCTTCCGGCCAAGACCCAGTTCTTAGGGTATTGTGACTTGGGCAGTGGGCAAGGTGGCAGCTGCCTGAGCCCCTCTGCCACCCCCTCTACCCCCAGGATGAATACGACGACATCGTGGTCCACAGTGGCCGGGGCCAAAACCGGCCTCCTCCCACCCCAGCGTCCAAACCTCTTCCTGACGACCCCGACCCCGTCTGATTTTGTGTTAATATAATTTCTGATTTAATAAAACCTCAGTTCTGACAACCAGCGACCAGACTGCTGTCCAGCCTCTCCCGGGCCGGCCGTCAGGGCGCAGCGCCACACGCCAGGCGAGGTGGTTTTCTCTGTGCTTTATTCACTCGGAGGTGGCAGTGGGCCAGCTGGCTGGGGGGTTCCTGAGTGAGACGGCCCAGACCCTGCCCAGCTCGGACTTGTCCCTCAGGATTGGTTCAGGATTGGTGGGGGCTGGGGCGGGGTGCCAGGTGAGGTGGGGCTTGGGGCCAACAGTCCTAAGCCATTGGGTGTGCTGGGGGGGCATGAGCCAGGTCAGCCCTCCCTCCTGGCCCCCTCCCCCAGCATGGCAGCGGCCTTCTGCAGCTCCTTCTGCAGCTCCTCCCGCACGTGCTCCAGCCGCTCCAGGTCGTGTTCCTGGTGGGACCAGACACCGGGAGTCACAGGCAGGCCACCTCAGTGGTCACCTGTAAATGGAGGCCCTGTCTCTTCTCACGATGACGGGCCACTGTGGCCACCCCAGTTGTTGCCACATCCCATCTTGGTGCCACAACCCCAGAAGAGTGGTTGGCCAACGTGACCAGCAGGGAGGTCCCTGTGGACTGTCACGGCCAACAGGAGCAGCCACAGGACTGGCAAAGACGCCTGATTTGGGTGACCCATTTGGGATACGATGGCCATTTTGGTTACTACCACTAAGCATGGTGACGCGGCAATGGTGCCCCCCTCTAGCCCAGGTACGCAGCGGCTTCCATGTGGCCGACTTGCGCATCGTGGAATGGCAGTGACGTTAACTGAGGTGCCTCAGGGGAATAATGGTGGCCCTTCTGGTAACTGTGGTCTCAGGGGAGCCACTGGGGCCCAACGGAGGCCTTGCTTGGGTGACGTCCTGGTCCCTCATTTGTTGTGTTTTGTTTGGTGCCAGGGATTGAACTCTGGGCCCTCGGCCACCGAGCCACGCCCCAGCCCTGTTTTGAATTTTATTTAGGGACAGGAGCTCACTGAGGTGCTTAGCGCCTCGCCATGGCTAAGGCTGGCTTTGAACCCGGATCCTCCTGCCTCAGCCTCCCAAGTGGCTGGGATGACAGGCGGGCCACCACGTCTGGCGGTGGGTCTTGCCATGTGGCCCAGCACTAGCAGCTTGTTTGGTGACCTGTCTTGGAGACCCCCCCTTCAGCACTCACCTCCCTCTCTGAAGCCTCTTCCTGCTTGGCCCCAGGGCTTGGCGGCGGCTGGTGATGGTGGCGCGGCGGGTCCCTGTGCCCCTCTCCTCTGCCCGCCTCGGCCCCCTGCCACAGGCTGCGGTGCCCACCCAGCATCTTCTGCCCTTTCTCCTCTGCCTCGAACTGGGCCGTCTCCTCGTCACTGGCCTTCTCTGTCACCTGCCTCTGGGGGCCCCCTCCGCCCTCCTGATGGTGCTTCCACAGGTCCTCGAAGGTCTCCACGGGGCCGCTCTCCTCCTCCTCCTCCTTCTCCTCCTTCTCTTCCTTCTCCTCCTGCCGGAGGCGGCTGTGCAGCTGCTCCTGGACCTGGGACCTGTGGATCCTCTCCGCCTCCTCCTCCTCCTCCTCCTCCCTCACCTCCTGGCCGCTCCGTGTCTTTCCAGCCTCCCGCTTCTTGAAGTCCCCATCCAGCAAGGCTTTCTCCTCAGGTGACAGGCAGCTGTAGGGCTCTGTGTCACACATCTCTGGCAGAAAGAGACGGTGCTCTCTGTGCCGCGCACCAGGAAACCCGCAGGGGGACTGTCCAGGACAGGGAGAGGGGCCAGCTGCGGGGCTCCCTGGCCCAGCCCGTCCCTCTGCAGGAAGCCTGCAGGGTGACCAGGCCAGGCTCAGCCAGATAGGAGCCCTGGACAGGAGGACCCAGGCAGAGCCCCGGTGGGGTGAAGCGGGCTCCGGGGGACCCGGGCCTCCTTACCTCTGTGGAGAAGAGCTGTGCAGGGTCCTCTCTGGACCTGGCCCAGGGTCAGCACCTCTGTGACCACCTCTGCCAGACAGCGGGTCAGCTGGGGATGGGGCAAGGTGTCAGGGGGGCGGTGGAGGGCAGCGGAGGCGGGAGGAGAGTGACTGGAGGGACAGGGGCAGTGGGGGACGTGGAGGAGGCTGGGAGGGGGGAACCCAGAGGATGGGGGGGTCCGCACATCTCACCTCCTCCTTGGAGGGCCTTGGTGCCAGGGGAGCAGCTGTGGCTGTGAAGAAGGGGGTTGCTGTCCTGGGCACTGACCAGCTCCCCGGCCACCTCACCTCCCCAGCCCGCCATCCCCACCTGCAGTCCAGTCGGAACCGCTGGGGTCACCACCCCAGGCCCCGCTCCCTGGGCCAGCGCCAAGGCCACCCACCCCCTGACCCCTGGGATGCTGGCGCTCACCAGGGCCCAGCAGCAGTGCCAGCAGCGGGGGCAGCATCAGCAGGAGCATGGCGGAGGCGGGCTGGGCTGGGCGCGTGTCCCTGGCGCCTGGTTGTAGGGCCAGGTGCCAGAGCCTTATAACCAGCGCAGCTCCCCGCAAGGAAGGGAGTGACCCTGCTCCGCCCTCCCAGCCTGCGGCAGGCACAGGGACAGCTGTGAAGCAGCCCGCCTGCCCCAGACCCTCAATTATTCATGGGGACGGGACCTGCACACCGCCCCCCAGCTTCCAGGCCTCGGGCGCTGTGTGTCTTCTTCCCGGACACAGGGGCTGCTTCTCAAGGGCCCCAGCGGGAGGAGGCCCTGGGCTGAGTCCAGGGACAGCCACTCACAGACCCATCTCGGCAACCGTCCTCCTCACCTAGGAAGGAACCTCACTGGCTCAAGAGGCCGCAGTTGGGCTCTGGCCTGGGTCTCAGTCCTGCCACTTGCCAGACATGCAGCCCAGGGACAATGGCTTAACTTCTGGCATTTCTGTGTTTATGAAACAAGGTTGGTGACAACCCACTCCACAGCTTGCTGGTGAGGGTGAAATAGTGTGTACGGCACGTACGGCAGTGCCCGCGCGGGGGACTGCAGGGTCTGCACGCAGTCCACTCAGTTTCATTGAGCACCTTCTACAGGCCAGCTCCCCTCCTGGGCCCTGGGGCCACAGCAGTGAACAACCTGGCCAACACCCCAGTCCTGACGCTGGAGAAGGGGGTGACGACGACACACACACAGGTTACGCAGGGAAGGAGAACACTGCAGTGAGTTCCACAGAGCACAGACGTGGGGCCATGACAACTTCATCCTTTACTCTGATGGAATGGTGGGGGCTCTGGGGAGGGAGGGGCAGGCCCTGACTTGGGGGTTCACAGGGGTCAAGGAGACAGCCGGCTTCTGTGATGATCCAAGGAGGAGACACTGGGCAGCAGGACTGGCAGAGGGCAGGGAGGAGAGGGCACGACAGGCTGTGGCAAGATTCTGAAGGTGGACTGCCAAGGTCACCGATGAGCTGGACAGGGACGTGGGAGAAACTGCTGAGGAAACCTCAGGGTCGATGCTGGAACCGGGGACAGGGGTGAAGCGAGTGGGTTCCAGCGGCCAGCAGAGGCCTGCCCTGGGGGCCCGGGCACCTGCCTGCGGTCTGGGGTTGCTGGGTGCTGCCAGCCCAGTCCTCGCTGCCACAGACCCTTGATGTCGGCTGGGACCCCCTGCCGTTGCCCAGCGCCTCCCGGGTGGCCCAGGCTCTGGCCCTGCTCACAGCCGCACAGAGGTCCCTGTTCTGGCCATTTATTGAGGACCTTCTGCCCAGCACGAGGGAGGAAAGGAAGATGGAGGACAGAAGTCTGTCATCCTCCTCAGGCCCCAGGAGCAACAGGCCACCCAGGGACTCAGGGCGGGCGGGCGGGCAGGGGAGGGTCAAGCCTGGAGCCGGGGTGTGAGTGACTCAGCCGTCAGGAGGGTTCAGGAAAACAGGTCCCTGGGCCGGGCCTCTGCAGCCCGGGCAGCAGTGACAACCGCTGGTGTGGGACGTTCTCAGCTGGAGGCCGCCTGGCCAGGGTCTCTGGGCTTCCGGGGTTGGTTGGGACCAATGTACTGGAGAGGCACGTGGGTGGGGGCCGTGATGCGATCGGTGCCGAGGTAGGGCTGGAGCGCAGGGGGCACGAGGACGGAGCCGTCCTGGGGACAGAGGAGGCCTCAGGACACTGCCCTGCCCAGCCGGCCCCCTCCCTGGCGCCCGGGCTGGACCCTCACCTTCTGCTGGTTGCTCTCCAGGAGAGCGATGAGGAGGCGTGGCACCGCGCAGGCCGTGGCGTTCACCTGGGGACAGACGGCTCAGGCCCCGGCCCCTTGCCCCAGACCCCTTGCCCTGGCCCAGGGAGGCCGCTGGGGAGGCTCTGGGCGGGCGGCCCTCACCGTGTGCGC